TGCCTTGTCATCTTTCTTTGGTACCTTTACTTTACTTTCAAAGCATCTAAGGCATCCTTAGTAAATCGACTGTCTCCATCCATAAAATTAGACCATGATCAAACAACTCGTGTAATAATGTTGAAACAGAATTGATACGGCATCATATTCCAGAAACACTTTGCAAACTGATCATCTCTTCATGTTGTCAGCAAATAGATCAAATCAAATTCTGCTACTTTTTATGGTTATTATTTGGGGTGGCAGTTTCTTTATGTTATCTATCAACTTAGTAAACTGCACAGACTCTATTTTGGCATCAGGGAAACTATTTTGCAAATAATTGTGTAAAATTATTGAATTTCATAACCAAAAATAGGTATCAGTATATTTGGTACGCAAGTCAATGTTTTTAGATTTTACGCCTTTTTTAAGTGTATATAATTGCTTTTCAATCTTTAATGAACAAACAAAACAAGCAAATATCTTAACTGTGAAAGCGAGATGTTCCTTTTTGTGCACATTACGATATTCAACAATTGAACGATTAAACTGTTGGCATTAGAAAAGAAATAGCAAAAAAGATGTGTTTGTTTTTCATAAATTCTATATAATTTACAGGGGAGGTCGAGAATAATTTTTTCTGCAAAGCGAACATTTCAGCGGAAATAAGTCAATTGGCATCCATGTTTTTAGCATCATCGCCCCAGTCCACTTAGCCTCTCCAGTTATTATAGAACATAATGGGATTGCCCCATATAGATTATAAATAAGACTAGAGGTGGCATTGATAACGTTTTTAAGGAACGTGTGAATTGGGGTGGGGGGTTTAGGTCCCGGATTAAAACACGAACTAAACAAATGTTTTTTCCGTCTGCTTTTTGGATTCGTTTTTAATATATTGAGTAAATTTTTTGCTCTATTGTACGAGCATACAGAAAATTTGTCACTTTAAAGTGTTACTAATTGTATTTAGCGAGCGGTTATTATGATTATGTGTTGTTTATAATCTCCGTATACTTTGTTTGCTTTAATTAATTATACGCAATGAAAACCTATGTTATTCTTTTCTGTTTTTACAACCCACATATTCACATAGTTTAACCGTTTTTAATGTTTTTCTGGTATGGATGACAAATATATAGGTTTTTTTAAGTCGGTTAGTAGTTGAATTAAAGACGAAAAAGGTCTTTTTATCAAGCAATGGTTTACAGACTTATAATTTACTGAATGAGTGTAAAAGCAAAACAAACAAATTTTGCCAAATACGAGTGGCTTAAACCATCTAAAATTACGATAAAAAGGCAAGAATTGTTCAGCAATTAGATTGTGATAGTATTCACTATAGTATTTACGCATATTATGTGCAAAAAACTGAAAAAATCATAGTTTTCCACTGTAGCTTAACATCTGGGAATGAATTTTGCCCCCCAAAAAACGCGTACCATATTTTGAACTATAGATGTTACGATGCCACCTCTAGTCTTATTTATAATCTCCAAGGATGACCCCACGTGCGCTACTTATAGATGTATTATACGTCAGCAATCTATGTTTAAAATATCTATGACCTTTTTGCGCTATTCAAACAAGTGGAAGCACTAATATGTTCGCTACAAAGTTAGGACATTGCTTGCATTTCTATTATATAAGAAATACAATGGTTACCACTAAGCGTTGTGCTTGGGGCACATGTGAAAATGATTTAAGATATCACGAACATATGAAATGTAATAAAAACGGCGATGAGGTTTTCTTTTTGCACTTCCCTGGAATCAAACATCACAAACCAAAGCTATAGCAATAGATCGCGCATGTCATCGAGGTGAGGAGATAGTTTTAGATGTACGAAAGATAGCTTCATATGTAGCATTCACTTCGTTGGTGAAAATGGGCACATGCTATTGACACAAGCCCTAGTTTTAAATAACTACTAACTGTTATTCCTCGATTTTGCAAATATTTCTTCAACTCGGGAATTTTCATTGAATTTAATTTGTTTTTCGAGGAATCCATAATAAATGCAGAAAACAAATCTCTACATCTACTTGCGATTTTACTGTTTAAAGGCCCATTTCCACTTCATTCGCAATTCGTCAATCGCATGCGATTTTTTCTGATTGGTTGCCCACTCGGGTTCGCATGCGAACGTTCGCAAAAACTCAAACATTGCGAACATGTCAAATTCGCAATGCGAACGTTAGCATGCGGTTTACGAATTGCGAATGAAGTGGAAATTGGGACTTAAAGCATCGAGTTCTATAATAACTGGAGCGGCTATCCCAAGCGCAGCTTTAATTAGCGGCTGATGCCAAAAAAATGGAGGATTTGTTCCATTATCGCTGAGATTTACCGAAATTGACTGCTTTTCCGAAAATCTCACAATTTCTTACTCCCCCCTTAAGAAAGAGTGAGGAAAAAGTATATGTGTTTTTCGCATATTTGGCGAGCAATTTTATGATGAAAATCACTGTAAAAACATAAATTTCATAAAAGCGAGTCTACTGTGGTTGCCAGTTGTGGGCTTCTACGACGGATGCCTTTTTTAACTATTGACGATCGAGCTATTAGTTGGCCACATATGAATGCAGATGTGCGCGTCGTAACTGTCGTTCATTGATTTGCTCGATATCAAAGTGTGTAGTCTGCACGAAACAAAATATATCATATTTTATCTCAGCAGATCACGAGAGAAATGTTAGCTCATTTATTGTCATTAGTTTTTTGCTTTCTTTTATGTGATGGCCTTTTTCGCAACAATTGTAGGATTTGTTTTTGTACATGCATCTCGCGTTTCGTAAATGAATAATGAAAAAAATATTGTATACAAATCACGAGAATCTTTGAGATTTTTGTGGTCTTCCGAACAAGAACTGCATCAAATACTTGTCAAGTTGTACCATATTTGATTTCGTTGTAATGATTGTGAAATGGCAAAAATGCAAATAATTAAAACACGTAAATTACAATAGTGTTTATAATACTTGAATACATGAGTACCCAATTGTGAATTTAATACTTCTCTTCTTTTTCTCTTTTTTATGTGTTTCCTATTAGTCATGAGAGTTCAGAATTTGATTGACTAATACAGCTTTCACCTCAATAATAAATTTTATACCCATATTTAATACCAGTTGCTATGGGATTTTTCCCTTTAAGTATGCAACACCTGGTGTTGTTTATACAGGAATGATGAAGTGCATGTACACATGTAAAAATAAGGCAATAAAACCAAATGAATTAAACAGATTTTGTGTTCTTTAATGCTAGAAGCTTAACAGCTTTTCAGAAATTATAGAGTTATTAAACTGTACTACCTGTATTTGATTCATATTATGAAATGAATTAAGAAGCAAAAAAATTGAAGAAAAACTTGGAAAAGTCAAAGCATTTCCCTGGTTTAATAAAGCAGAAAATAAAGCAAATAGCAAATGTCCATTTTGTACTGTATTAGGTAAATATTTTTTCAGCTAAAACGGAAGTTAAGAAAAATATATAGCACTGAGGTTTTCATTACTGAATCTTTAATGCTTCAATATGGCATGCATTACATATAAGTAACATTCACACAACATTATACTAAAATAATTTAATGAAGATGTGACATGATTTTACAATTTAGTTATACAAAACACACTGCATGGATTGTAAAGTTGCAGTAAGTCATCATCAATCTCAGTATCAATATTGACATAAGCACAAACTTTATGACCTTTTTACATGACATTTCATCAAGGATCAAGACATACATAACCTTGTTATCTTTATTTGGTACTTGACCTTTACTTTCAAAGCATTCAAGGCATCTTTATTAAATCCATTATCTCCATCCATAAAATTAGTCCAAGTTCAAATAACTGTTGGACAGGGAAGCCTGTAAATCATTTACCTTTGTTGGTATTCATCCTTAGCATTTTGCAGTTAGACTCTGTCTGGTCAATAGTATCTTCCAATTGTCTTAATATAGTGATCTATGAAATAGTGGTACTGCAGCATATTCCAGAAACATTTTGCTATCCGATCATCTCTTTGTGTTGTCAAGAAATTGATCAGAACAAACTCTTCTCTACTTCATGGGTTCTCTTTGGGAGTGATCGTTTCTTCATAGTATCTGCCCACTGAGTAAAAAGAGCAGAATCTTTTTTCACGTCAGAGAAACTATTTTGCAAACAGATTTACGGTTTTCACACATTAACAAATAAATGGAAAAGTATGTTGATATTTAAAAACAAAAACAGGAAAACATCAGTCGGATTTTATCGTTCAGGCGGGCGTCATTTACAGTTCTTGCTGTCTGATCACCAAACAGTTTGCAAGTAAAAAGGTCAAGCTTGCCAACAGTTTCTTATATCACCCCGTCTGATGTTCACAAATCAGAAAATGTTAAAATAAATTGTTCGTTTGCTCGTGCTAATGTTAGTGCTTTTTCCTTCGCCTTGCGTATAATCGCAAGCTAAATAAGTGTAGTGTGCACTTTAAATAGTGCGTTTATTACAAGAAAAACGAGGTAAAAAGTATCTGTAAATGCGTAAAATGCCGGTAAAGCTGAACAAAGGCGTAAAATTCATAATTTCCAAAGTATAGTTGATTTGACTGTGATAACTGTTCTATTCAAAACGTTATCGGATGTTGCTGACCGTTCGCTGTCCACTGAAAGTGCGCACAAAAATACAACACTTTAAAAACGCTTAATCGAGCATCGCTCGTGCGATAGTGTTAAACGTCCGGGGGCATGCTTCCCCCGAAAATATTTGAAATAAGAATTTCTAAAATACTCTAATAATTTTGGGGAGGAATAGTTCAAACTGTATTTCTCAAATGTATTTCTTCAACCTAAAATCAAAATTCCACGCCTCATGTTCATTTCTGCATCCACCAAAATCAATAACTGGGGTGCCCCCTTCTCTCCCCCTGCCAGCACACTGCGGAGTTTTCATATTTAAGAGCTGTTCAATTTTTATATGAAATGTAATCCAAAGTAGTTGTTACAGTATTGGGTCTCTGCTATTCTTTATTTAAAGGGCTACCATTTTCTGATGTCTGTGAAGTTGAGCTCAATGTATGCTTGAACTATGTTGCCATTGTATTTAATTCAACGGGCGATGATCGTCTCGTTCCTGGTGGATACAACGTATGCCAGGCGGCCATTGAAAGAACTTTGTGTAGAGGTAAGTTTAAGGAATCATTTTGGGAAGGGGAAGAAATCTTTATGAACTTTGAGGACTGATTTTTCAAAAAACATGTTTGCGTATTAAGTTAAGCTTCTGCAATGGAAATGATTCCTCAAAATGAATTCTTTGGGAAGGGGAGGTGCCTTTTGATAATGGGTTAGATATAGCGTGTATAAGTGAGGTGTGAAGTGTCCACTGAAAATATTGCTTATTTTCACTGTGCCTAGAGGGCTGTAGCAAAAATAAAAAAATAAGTTCGATAAAATGTTTTAGTAGAATCATATACTAGTGTTCTTTTTCAAATGAGTTAATTTCATTGGGTACTGCAGTCACTATCTATTATTAAATGGATAGCAAGTAGTGGAGCAATAGATAGCTAGTAGCGAGAAAACTTGGCTGCTGACCCTGCCGTCTTGCGTTTTACTGAGTTTTCTGACCATAAACCTGATTGTTTACTTAAAAGCCATTCTAAAGAAGGGTGAAGTTGCCGCTAATTCTAACGTTAAGATATTTCCACGTGAAATAAACAAAAATTCGCTGTTCGTTCTTACTCAATGCATGTTTACTTGTGAAAACGTAGAAGACCATTTTTTATAACGAACGCTTTGCCTGCGTGAGCGGAGCGGGCACTTTTGAGCACGGGGGCTATAAAGCAACGTTGGGGCTTAGAATAATTATATTTTCAAGTAATCTCAAAGACACTTCAATTTTATGAAAAAAAACATCGCGAAATATTGGACTAATTGTATTCGTTATCATTACTAACAAATCGCTATTGATTTACATGTTTTGTCGTTTCATTTGTCAGTCTATATACAGTTTAGCGTGCTTTGTCAAGCGGTCAACCACGTATGAATCTTTGCTCTTTTAGTTTTTGGAACAACGCAAAAGGTGTGTTCTACTTCGTATTTAGTATTTGAAGAAAATATCCGACATTATTACGTTGATGGACAAGAAGGAAAACACAGTTAGTAACGACGATTTTTTCATTAACTGATTATACACAAATCTTTCCGCCTTAATACTGCAGGTTGTCTGTTGTCACACGAACTTAATGTATATGCTGTGCCCTATGCCAGTTTCAATGCTGTATTTTTCATGTTCCAAAGACAATATCGTAGTTTAACTTTGATCCTTTATCGTCTTTCGTTTGTAATGCTTTCAATACACGAAACTTTTGAAATGGCTCTAAGGAAAATCAAAGTGACCATTCAGTTTACCTTATTTCATGTATTTTAGAGGAACATAAGGAAGTGGCGATGTTGCTTGTTATATTTATTTCAATCTTGATGATAAATTCTCACGGTAGCTATATAAAATTTTTGTTCATAAATTTGTCGAACAGGTTATAAAGTTTTCGGGGTACATGATACAGTTGGGCTGACTGTTTTAGAAAAAATTCAACAACTGCACTGTTGTTAGTGATGATTCGAATGAAAATCGAGAAACTTTAACGCTCTTAAAAATGTGCCACGTCACCAAATGACGTCTTAGTTTAAGATATATAAATATCGATGCCAATAATATATAATTATAAATCACTGTAATAATTTATTTAAAAAAGGTTTTTTACGAAAGCAAATGTTTATCAGAATCTTAATTTTTATACACCATTACCATTCTTTAAAGTGCGTATAAACCTTACGTGGTTTTTACACTATCCAATGTAAGTGGTGTCAAAGGCCATATTCCAAACTTTTGCTTTAATCGGACAAATAGTTTGCGCTGTAAAGTCCGTCAAAGTTGCGAAAATACGCCAATTTAAGCGCTTGGTTTTAGCGCTAAGTGACTGGGCCTGCGCGTCCACCTGACGTCATCTAAGTAACACGGGTCTCAACTGTCGTAAAATAATATATGAAAAGCATAGCAAACTGTTTTCATGTAAGGCCAACTCAGTCTACTATAACGGGCTGTTTTAATGTTCCCTGCCCATAAAGCAAAGGCCTTCACTCATTCCTTTTAATGGTCCGCCATTCCTGTAGAAATAAGTGGCTCAACTCAGGTATTGCTCTATGCTCAACACATGTATTTTTTAAGTTTATCAAATATATTTTGAGGTGAGAACAGATTAATTCGATTCAGAAAATGCAAATTTTAAGCACTTATATTTCCTGAAAGACAAATTTGTCCAGTTTGACACCTCATACGAACTGTCTTCCTTACATGACGTCACGACATGCACTTGATACCAGACCCCTTAGTGAAAAATATATACAGCAAATTTGGATTTTTAACAGCGATTTCCCAAGATAGATTTAATGTAAATCAAATTATTTTTTTGAATTTGTTAATTTCATGAATTTTTCTTTCAAACAATACTAAAATCCTGTAAGGTTTATATGCCCTTTAAACGCTTTTTACTGCATCCCACTGATATGTATATTAGACTGGATAACGCATCACTTGTGAAAATTGAAGCCGGAAGTTCGATCATTTGCTACTGGCTTCATGGGTATCGATCCCACTTTACTATACTTTTGTATTACAAAATCACAGTTTTTACGTTTTTATTCCTTTTATAAACTTTTGACAAAGATAAAATTTTCAAGAGGTGTAGAGGAAAACCAGAAAGAGAGTTTTAACCCTAAAGCTGTGTTTTCTTGGCTTTGTAACGAATGAAAAATAAGATGGCAAGTTTTATTGAAATTTGAAAATTGAAGGTAACAAGGACAATTTCAGTTGTGCGAGGCATTTTTAGAAGATGAATACTGAAATTACAAGAAAGTACGAACAAAGGTATTCAGATCTGCAATATATTCATCGATATTGCAGTTGTTCATAAAGGAACTGTTTTAAAACCTTGCATCGTATAATGCAAGGTACTTTTGCATATTTTGATGATGTTGATGTACGTCTCGTAGAGTTTGAGGATACCGTTTTCAACTTCTATTGTTCACAAAAATGTCTTTCTGATTATTTGTCTATGTCGATTTGTTTTGCTTTCTCACTGATATAATAAATACGTAATTTGAAGTTATTATGATATTAGCGATGTGAATAACAAAGTGTCGATAAATAAGTAAATTTGTAGCAATCTTCCATAAACGTCATTGCAGATAAAATTTTGGTAGCAGTAGTAGGATTCTGTAATATTTCTACATTTTTTAAGAAGCAGCATCATATAATCTCCAGTTTGTTTTAAAACAATGCAGGTGGACCTTGTACCATCTCATATTTCTGCCATTATAAAGCCAAGAAGAGAAACTTTTTAGGATTAAATATCTTTGCCGGTTGTTTGTCTCTTTCACAAAAACTTTGCTCGAATCAAAAGTTTGTAGAACTATTAAAAACGAAAAAACCGTGATTTCGTAATACAAATGTATTGTAAAGTGGGACCGATACTCATCACGAAGATCATAATCAAATGAGCCAACTTCCGGCTTCAATTTTCGTACTATATTTTATACATGGATGCGTTATCCAGTGTTATATACATATCAGTACTACATCCACGATTCAAATTTATTTTATTTTTCTGTCCGTTGTTTTGCGCATGTTAATCGAAGTTCCAAAAAGGTGTTTAGATTTGTGCTGTACTGCCAAAGTTCTATATCTTGTGGTCTGTATAACAACTATTTTGTGACTAAATTCTCGTACCGAAAAATTGCGTGGCCTATTTAGCGGTTGTATCTATTTTAGTAATTTAATGCGCCTGTTGCTTTTGTCTTCAACGTTCTTTGTTGCAATCGTTGGATTTATTAGTGATCGAATTTTTTTTACGTTTGCCTAGTGTTTGAATCGTACAATCTCATGATGAGTCTGGCTGACTGTTATCGGTCAGTTGAAAAAAATGTGAGTTATTAATTTTTCATATGTTTTCACAGTTACATGTACTGTTAGACGTTTTTCGTAATTTTTTTCTTTCTTCGTTGATAATTTTGGATAGTGAATAGTTCATTTTTGATTGCATCTAGAGTAACGCGATTTTTAAATTTTGTTTCTTCGTTCGAAGTTTTCTTTATTTTCAGAAATTTGAATGGTTTAGTTATTTAATAATGTGTTGTAGGTTGAGTTGAACTCCATATTCACTTTAACAGCAGGCGCAGAGAACCTTGAAAGTAACATGATTCTTCTATATTTTTTGAGTCGTCATCATTGTCTGAGAAGTTTCAAATTTTTACAATGTAATGTCCATTTTTTACGAAATATTATTTTCCTGAAGGTTGCTTGCTACCGACTATCCACTTTCTCCTGAGCTGCTCGTCATTCATGTTAAATAAGAAAACAGAATGTTTAAAACATTGTGATAAATGTTTGAGTTTTAAAGCAGACTTTGTAAATGGACTTTTTATGAAAGGTAACGAAACACTGTGTTTTGCTGGAAGAACTTTCTGTTTTGGCAAGGTTACAAATGTATGACTGTGCATTAGAAATTTATATACAATAACTGGAATATACATTCGAGAATGCGTTATATAAGAATTTAAGCGCGGCATAGTACATCAAATAAGAAAAACAAATTAATGTCTATGTCGTGAGTAAAGTTTACATAATGAGAATTAGACATATGCATTTATATGTTTGTAAATGTAGATCGTCCAGGTTGGCATAGTCCTGAGAAGGACTGTTTTTGTTGTTGTTGACTGACGTTTCGACAACCTTAGCTGTAGTCATCTTCAGAGTCAAATGAGGAGTAAACGTCAGGTTAGCCGTATTTGTTATCTGGTTCTTACGTCATTGTATTGTGTGTAAGTCGTTTGTAAGAGGCCGGAAGTTGCTGTAATCTGTTCAGGGGGGTTTGTTCCAAGTTGATATACCAACTTTCTAATGTAAGCCGTTGTCTATAGTCAGTACTGTAAGTAATGCATTTTGCCGAGTCCCAGTCAATGTTGTGCTTTGTGATTCGGTGATGTTCAGCAATGTGATTAGTGTTGTCTTGTTTCTTTGTAGCTCGTTTGTGTTCAGAAAGTCTTATGTTTAAGTTCCTGCCAGTTTCCCCGATATAGGAGGTGTGGCAGTTGGAGCAATTTATTTTGTAAACTGCACCTTGTCGTTCGTTGGTTTGTTCTTTGTCCTTTATGTTCGTTAGTACTTGTCGTATGCTGTGATTGGTTTATGTGCGACACGTATGTTGTATGGTCGTAAGATACGCGAGATAGTCTCAGACGTACCTTTGATGTAAGGTATCGTTGCTGTTGTCACTGAGTTGTTCGTTTCGTTGGGTTCGTTGGGTTTGTAAGTGTTGCGTTTGATGAAGTCAGAGTTATAGTTCTTTTTGTAAAAAACACGTTTGAGATAGTTGTTTTCGTTGCATAGAGCGTCCGGTGAATCACATATGATTTGTGCACGTCTTGTTAATGTTCTGACTGTGTAGCTTTGTGTGATGTAGGGTTTTAAGATGATTGGTCTAGTAGTCGGTCAGTGTGTGTTCGTTTGCGATAAACTGTTGTTCGTAGTTTCTGATTGTCATGTTTTACCAAACAGTCGAGAAAAGGAAGAGTTCCGTTTTCTTCGACATCTTTGGTAAAATGTATGTGGCTGTTCTGTTTGTTGATGTGAGTGTGAAAGTCATCAATCTCGTCTGCATGTAGTGCTGTGATTGTGTCATCTACCTATGGGAACCAAAAAGGTAATGCATGTTTGTAAGTCGTGAGCACCCGTTCCTCTATAGATTGCATTACAATTTCAGGGTAGCCTCCGCTTTACAATCGTCCTCTATACGTGACAACAACTTGACAAAGGACGAGCAACAAGCACTCAAACGACTAAAACACGTCAACAACATCGTCATTTTACCAGCAGACAAAGGTCGCGTGACTGTGGTCATGGACAGGAATGATTACTTCGACAAAATGGACACCATTGTTAACGACAGACAAACGTACGAACAAAACATAAGCTACAATCAAATCAAAACATAAGCTACAATCCACTGAAACTTTCATTAAAAAACTGAGCACTATACAAATACCGGACAACTATATACTAGTGTCTTTTGATGTGAATTCACTGTTCACCAGTATTCCACTTAATCTGGCACTTACTTGTACAAAAACCCTCATTACAAATACCACGGACGTACTGCCATTACTGACAAAAGACATTATTGAGCTACTGGAGCTCTGCCTCACCTCGACTTACTTCCAGTACAAAGGTACGCACTACAAACAATTACATGGAACAGCAATGGGCTCACCCGTTTCTGTCGTTATTGCCGAAATTGTAATGCAATCTATAGCGGAACGGGCGCTCACGACTTACAAACATGCACTACCTTTTTGGTTCCGCTACGTAGATGACACAATCACAGCACTACATGCAGACGAGATTGATGACTTTCACAGTCACATCAACAAACAGAACAGCCACATACAATTTACCAAAGATGTCGAAGAAAACGGAACTCTTCCTTTTCTCGACTGTTTGGTAAAACATGACAATCAAAAACTACGAACAACAGTTTATCGCAAACGAACACACACTGACCGACTACTAAACCAATCATCTTAAAACCCTACATCACACGTACTATCGAACATAAAGGACAAAGAACAACCCAACGAACGACCAGGTGCAGTTTACAAAATAAACTGCTCCGACTGACACGCTTTTATATCGGGGAAACAGGAACTTAAACATAAGACTTACTGAACACAAACGAGCTACAAAGAAACAAGACAAAAGTAATCACATTGCCGAAAGTCTCCGAATCACAAAGCACAACATTGACTGGGACTCGGCAAAATGCATTACTTACAGTACTGACTATAGACCACGGCTTAAATTAGAAAGTTGGTATACCAACTTGGAACAAACCCCCCTGAACAGATTACAGCAATTTCCGGCCTCTTACAACGACTTATTCACAATACAAACGATCAACTAAAAACATTACACTTCACACTAATTCACAATGGCAATACACAGTTGACACCCACACATTTCCTGTACAAACAATACAATGACGTAGGAACCAGTTAACAAATACGGCTAACCTGACGTTTACTCCTCATTTGACTCTGAAGATGACTACAGCTAAGGTTGTCAAAACGTCCGTCAACAACAAGAAAAACAGTCCTTCTCAGGACTACACCAACCTGGACGATCTACATTTACAAACATGTAACGATACTCCCGTGTTCAAGCAATTTACTTTACATATAGATTTAGTTAGTTCTAGTATGGTTCTCCTGAAGACATTACATTTACATGTTTTATTTAGTCATGCATGAACATGCAATATTACGGTAGTTTGTCGAAATCATGGAAACTTTATTCTTCACTATTATTTCTCTTCTTCGCAGCATTGTTATTATACGAAAGCAGACAATATGAAAATGCATTGTTGTATCTCGAGAGAATTGTGAGCTCAGCTAATGGAAGTGGTTGTCTGCCTAAATTGCTGAATTTTGTTGGTTGTATTCTAGCAAGACAGGTAGCTACGTTTGAATGTGTGAAACAACCTTCTTATGTTATAAAGTATGTTATTGAGATCTTATATTCATAAAATAATAGATTTTAAGTTGTTCTTTGGCTGTTTTCGTTTCGTCTTACGTAAAACATTTTACTTTTCACTGCTTCTGGAGAAAAAAGGATCAGCGTGAAAGAAGTCCTTTCAGCATCAATATATTGTTCCATGAATAAACAGTTGTCTTTCTGACTTCTTGTCTTAATTGCATACCTCGTAAAGTTTTTATTTACTATGGGTTTTCTTCTAAACTGGCAAAACTTAAAACAGTCATTAAATTTTATAAATAGCTTGAAGTAGTTGACTTCATCAACTGGCGATGGTGCTATAGGTGTACATTGTCATGTTTCGAAGATATACTTTTCTTTCTTTCTACTATTCTATTAGATCATAAAGTTTGAAGTCAATTTACAGAAACATCTTAGTTCGGGAAAAAACTCCTGCATGCATTACTACGAATATTAGCGTAGATTAGACAGTACATTTGAATTTGATTGAGTTTCCAAACCATCATTAAATTGTATTATCTTTCATCACTTTGCAATTTTAGGAAAAGTATCATTCAGCGCTGTTAAAATTCCGACTGTCATTTTTCATTGATAAAAACCACTTGGAGGCTCTTTACAACTGCTCAGTAGTTTATCGTGAAATGTGTGATACTGTTCTTGAATTTAACATGTGGAAATATCTCTATAAGGTTTGTTTTTCTTTGCAAGTTATCTGATGTTCGCTGATAACGTCGTATTCTGCACCAAATTACGACACGATAAAAAAATTTCCCCTGATGTTGGCCATTTTTTCGGATTGTTAAACAGTGATTGGACTATTTTTTTACAATTTGAGAATGTGGAGTTGATAGAAATGCGCGGTGTTTTCGTAGAGGGAGATCATGACGCAAAGAAGAAAGTCGTGTCCCAACAAAATTATAATGGAAAAAGAAAGGGATCATTACACACACAAGAACTTTTCGCAGTTTTTTTTGCGTTACAAATTTAAAAAATTTTTTTTCATGTGTCTATTCTGCTGTAGATTTTGAACGCAAGGCAACGATGTCCGAAGCAGCGCTCACCTTCTTCATCAACTTTATTGGATCATATTTATCGTCAAGTTTTTGATGTACTAGGTTTGTGTTTTCTATTTTCAATATTTTGATTGTAACTTACAACATACACTAGAGCAGAATGAGAAACTCTCAAAACAAAAGAACATCTCTCGCATCATAGACGAAATACTGTCCTTAAACTTGTATGTTCATATTCGTAGAACTGCTCATATTTGTATTTCCCTTGTAAAGATTAGTTATGTAAAATTTGCCGTCATAATATAAATAACCATATGTTTTATTGTTTTACTAAAGGTCGTATCAACTCAGAAGATAATTTTGTCATTTTCACCGACATAAGTGGTGTTACGAAGTACAATAGACAAAATTCAAAACTTGGTTTGTCTTCTGTATTGTTCAAATTGGGCAGCACCTGTTTGATGTTACGACGGTAAGCCTTTCAATTACGAATAATATACAACAGAATACAAACTAATACACAACGGTAGACAGTAATAGGCAACGATGTATTTCATACCACTGTATGGTGTTAATTTTGGGTTATTCTTTTTTACTGACAACTAGTCACTATCTTAGTCCAAGAGTAAAAATTTCATACGTACAGCTTCGTACATACACAGGCGTATTAAAATAGTGTGCAACCCTTTAAAAATCACCCGATGTTTAGAATTTTCATGAATCAATTTTCATGATTGACAATTGATCCCCAATGAGCCATAAACCGAATTCTAACACAATAATACATAACTTGCCAATTACAAGGATGAAATTCGTTTTTATCATTTACCTACATCTCCAATCTACTTGATATCTGATTTCGCTAAAAATTCTATAGTTACAAGTGAGGCAAGCCGCTTTCGTGAAAGATGGCACAACTGACGATATTTGCGTGTAATATCTTCTTTTCCTGAATTGATATACAGTTACAATGTTGATAGGCTAGATTTGATTTTTAAAATGTTTGATTTGATTGGTTTTTGAAACTTTCTTTGACCTTATTTCTTTGAGTTTTGAGTTTTGCTTTTCGCACCTTTCAAGATGGCGTCCTTGCCTCACCTTTACACGGTAGTTAGACATCTTGGGGATTAAGCTCGAAATCAATGGTTTTGATCATACATATTATAAACATAGATTGCTGACGTATATACAAGTTATACGCTCTGATATGTATATTGGACTGGATAACGCATCTCTTGTGAAAATTGAAGCCGGAAGTTCGATCATTTGCTACTGGTTTCACTTTACTATACTTTTGTTTTGCAAAATCACAGTTTTCGCGTTTGTATTCCTTTTACAAATTTCTAATTAAGGCAAAATTTTCATGAGATCTAGAGGAAAACCGGTTCAGAGTTTTGACCCTGAAGCTCTGATTTCTTGGCTTTGTAACGAAAGAAAAATAAGATGATAAGTTGTATTAAAATTTGTATGTTGAAGGTGACGAGGACAATTTCAGTTGTGCGAGGGATTTTTAGAAGATGAATACTTAACTTAGAACAAAGTACGAACAGCGGTATTCATATCTTCGATAGATTTATCGATATATTGTTGGCTTCGTAAAGACTTTGCTTCGTAAGTTGTATTCATAAGATGGCAAGTTGTATTGAAATTTGAAAGTTGAAGGTGACGAGGACAATTTTTGTTGTGCGAGGCATTTGTAGAAGATGAATACTTAAATTACAAGAAAGAACGAACAAAGGTATTCATATCTTCAATATATTCATCGATATTGAAGTTGTTCACAAAAGAACTGGTTGAAAACTTTGCTTCGTTTAATGCAACACAAAAAGGTACTTTCGCATATTTTGATGATGTACATCTTGTAGAGTTTGATGATACCGTTTTGAACTTACTATTGTTCATCAAAATGTCTTTCTGATTATTTGTCTTTGTCGATTTGTTTTGTTTCGTCACTGATATAATGAAGACGTAATTTGAAATATTTCCACACTGTAATATTTGCACATCGCTGTAATATTTCCACATTTGTTAAGAAGCAGCAGCATCATTTAATCTCCAGTTTGTTTCAAAATAATGCAGGTCGACTTTGTACCATCCAATTTTCTGCATTATAAAGTCAAAAAGACAATTTTTTTAGAATTAAATATCTTCGCCGGTTGTTCTGTCCCTTTCACAAAAAATTTTGCTCGAATCAAAAGTTTGTAGAACGAATAAAAACGCAAAAACTGTGATTTTGTTACACAAAAATATAGTAAAGAGTGGGACCGATACCCCCCAAGAAGGTCATAAGCAAATAAGCCAACTTCTGGCTTCAATTATCATACTATGTTTTATACATGGTGCGTTATCCAGTATATTATGCATGTCGTTGTTTCGACATCTCACGATGCCATCTTCAGTATAAGTGAATAATTGCATAAATAATACAAGGTTTATATAAAAGTAATATGATACATAAATTTCAACAATGATAAGGAAATAAGATAAATTAATGGGGAGCGTCCACGCGTGTTATAAATTGAATATTGTGTTGAATTAAAAAACTTGAACATTGAGGTCAGAGTTAGTTTTGTTAATGTGGAGTGCTTCTTTGATTTTAAGAGACAATGAGGTGTCGGCAGTGTCGAGGATTTTGAAGCAAGAGGGTGAATAGTTGGTTTTACATGAGTGAGATTTAAGAAGGTGTCGGTAGATATGAGAGTTTTTGTCTGTTGTTGTATGTTCCCGGATTCTGGTGGATAAATGGCGCGAAGATTCGCCAATGTATCGGGAATTACATCCCGCGCAATTGATTTATATCCAAATTCATATACCACCGGGAATATCCAAATTCAAATACCACCATGTATCCGGGAATTACATCCCACCATTGATTTAATTGAATATCTGTATAGAAGCGTTTCGTAATGTTTGTAAGTCTGCGCTGTGTGTGTCGTGAGTAATAGTTTTTAAGTCTCCGATGTATGGTAGTTTGAAGTATAAAATTGTTATTTTGGAATTTTCATTTGTGTTGGTCGTGATCGTCGTGTCAGGAGTTTCTATGTCTAGTTTGAGGTTGTTGCTTTGTTGGTTTTCGAGATATCGTTTTACGGTTCTGTTAATAAAGTGTAGTGGGAAGAGTTTCGTAAAAGAGTGGATGTGATGTTTTTTATGTCTCGTCGAAAGCCATTGTTCGTTCTGTTAAGTTCGTATGCTCTGTCGATTAGTGTCGATTTATCTTATTTCCTTATTATTGTTGTAATTTATGTATCATTACTTTTATATAAACCTTGTATTATTTATGTAATTATTCACTTATACTTAAAGTGCTTATATTACGAATTTTAGCCCCCCTTTTTTACGAGCTTAATTGAAAATTTGGATTATTTGAAGAACTATGTCATGTCGCTGGACTTAAACAGATAAATATAAGTTCCTTAATTTTGCCTCCAAAGTCGGGTACTATTTGCGAATTTTTTACGACGCCATATTGATACTTGTGACGTAGATAGTTGAACACGTCTGTTTCCGTCAATATAATATTATATTATAGGAGGTGATTTTGTTGTCGTTTTTCTTGTCTTAAAAACAAATAATGACAGTATTTTCAATAAAATATTAAAAAACAAGTTTTCCGGAAAGTATGGCCTGAATTCAGTGCTCAGATAATTCGAGTTCGATGTCTGAATGCGTATCTGATTCGAGCTCGGAATCCGTGGGTTATGTCGAGCATTTAAACGACTTCGCATATGACGATGAACCGCTCGCAGGAGATGGTGATGAAGTGCATACTCCAGATGATCCCGATGGAATTCTCCCTGCGACATTAGAACAACGAAGTGATGGCGTAATTCCACTCGGTGAATGGTAAGTTGTTGTTTTCTCCTGTTTGTAATATACATAAAGTTACTTTATAAACCACAATGCTCCAACGTTTCAGGTGTAATTGTCAATGCTGTCATACCGATTTGTTAGAAGGCGCATTAGAGTACAGATGCTGTAAGGAAATTGGACCAGCTTTGCAGAAAATGACATTCGATGGCAGCATTGAGAAAATATCATGCATAACACAGCATGCCAAATTTGGGCCTTTAGTTCATGAGGCTGTCCTTGAAAACGTCGGGCCACTATTGAGAGATAGGAATGGACGTGCTTATCGCCGCCAAGCATCACAATCATTAAATATGTAAGATTGTAAATTGTATGAGAAACAATGTTATCATCAACATTGTTTCATCAACAATAATTAGTCCAACCTATTTATTTACTTCAGGTACTTGAGAGCTGTGGCATACAGATGGTTGATGCGATGGTTTTGTGGGTCTATGGGATGGGAGAATACTCGGCCTTTATCTGCTTGTGTTTACCACTATATTCGGAAAACATATCCAAGTGGTAACACAAAAGGTTAAATACCATCAGAGGGGCGATGATGGAAAGGTCTTTTAACTTGTGCACTGTAGAGACTGTTGACCTTCTTTGCTGAGTTTAGAATGGTCAGGAAATATGCCTAGATGAAAACCAAAAAGGAGATACATGGATGCACTACATAAGTTGACATGCAGTTTAATGGTTTGAAACAAGAGTAAACAATAAAAACAAATTGGTGCAACTACTGAGATGGCATCATGAGATGTCGAAACATGTTTATTCTAAAAAAACTAGTCGTCTATATTAAATGCACGTTAGTAATAGTGCTTTATGCAATTATGGATACATATCAGTGTTTAAACGTAGCCGGCCGTAGCCATTGAGTTCTATAATAACTCGAGGGGCTATCTCAAGCGCGGCTTATCGGATCGCTGATATCGAAATAAGACTGGATCTAGCATCTAACTCGAAGTTAAAAAATAAGGAGCGCCGCCATTTCTAAGGGAACAACTTTCGAAATTATGTGGCAAATATATTCTGCATTTATACGAGAATAATCAAGAATTTTCAACATGTAACTACATGAAGAAGAGCTAAAAATACGATGAAATAGATGAAATATGATCAAAATGCCGTGATTTTTGTCATCGGTAACTCTACTGTGGTATGGAAAAACTATGGAAAATAGCCCACAACTGCATGGAAATACCTAGAGTTGTTGGAATTGTAGTTGAGAAGTACAAACTGATTAGATAATCATATTTACGATCATAAACTGATCAATCCTTTAAAATTACAGGCCTTTTTTAGGAGTGATTCGGAGTGAAACCTGTATGCGTTTTGTTTTATACAACGGATTATTCTTTCTGACTTGAAAAGTCAAAAAAGTTTTCTTTAAACAAGCAGCAAATAAAGCAAATGACAAATCTTCATTCTGTACTCTATAGTTAAATAAGCCCAAACTGTTTCTTAAAGCAAAAACTGAAATAAGGAAGAAATATATAGCACAGTAACTTTTAAGGTTTTATCATTATATTGCATGTATTAAATATTAGTAACATTCAAACAACAGCAAAGTTTTTGCTGTAACATTAGTAACATTCAAACAACAGCAAAGTTTTT